TGACTCTGTACAGAGAAGATAAAAAAAGTTTAAATTACAAAGATTTTCGGTTTTGTCCTGGATTTTCTTCAAACGGATGAAATGTTTGCATCAACAATTGATTCAAGAACTGGGCAGAAATACAAGTTTTTGTCAATATCTTTTTGGAAACGTTCACATTTCATCGTGCCAATTGTAGCCACAGTTTTATACGTTTTTCGTCCAAAGGCACGTTTATAAATGTTTATTCCTGGTGTAGACACCGTAGAACTGGTACACTCCGGCATTATACAATATTTATAAACCATGTTCTTCGAATCACCCAAAACTCCACTAAGCAGCCATTAAAGCTGGTTTCAATAAAAAAGTAAACGCCGGCACCACGCGAACCAAATGCAAGCCGATATCAAAGTCGGGTGTAGTGTCGTCAGCCGTCCAGCAAGTTCTAGCGGGCTTAATGGAAATTCAAATTTAGATTGCTTATAAGTTCCGTGAAAATAATGTAAAATCGAAAAAAAATGTAGAACAGTTAGTTCACCATAAATGAGCAAAATAAGGAAACAAAAAATGTGCAAAAACCCTATTCATGCCATTAAAATGCAATTCAATTCACAAAATCGGTAAACAACAATTTGTCTGATTGTGCCATTTTAACATAAATCATATATCAACTTTTACGTTAGCCGGTACTTGAGGACAGCACAGTATCTTTAGTTCGCCCTGGGTCATATTTTCTGAATTTCTCATATCGGAACCTGCGGGATCATCTGTTGGGATTTTCGACGACACACAATGCAGTATCTTAAACAAAAACTTGACACCCAGAATCATTCCGAAGAATGCGTTATTTTTGTTTCAAATTTGAAGTTTATTATATTTTATTTTCTTGTGTATTCTGCTGTTGAAGTGTCTTTGAAGCATCGGAATGTAGAACCCGAAAGCGATGAGCTTTTCAGAAACTTGCGCACTATTTATTAACATATTTATCTGTTCTTTTAGACAACGCAGATAGTTGCTCAATACAGTGTGTTATCTTTTTGAAACACGACGAAATATTAACAAGCAACCTCAGAGGACAAATGAAAATTTGGGACACGAGATCTGAGAGCAATAAACCAGCAAATACATTGATGCTAAGTGGTGATCAAGTCACTCCTACATATTTAACGTTCCATCCTACACAGCGCCATATAATAATTGCAGGTAAAATCAAAGCTTTAACTAAACGTTTAAATACGAGGGTCGTTTAATAAGTCAGTGACTTTTTCAATGAAATAATTTGTTTTCAGCCAAAAAAAGTTATTTCTCAGCATAATCTCATTTTAGCTCAATACACTTAGTCCAGCGTCTTTCCAATTTTTTTTATCCCTTCCAAATAATATAATTTCTCGAGGTCCTCAAAATATGCGTTTGTTTCAATGATGACCTCTTCATTGGGCCCAAATCTCTTACCGCCCAGCCATATCTTCAGTTTTGGAAACAGGAAATAGTCGCAGGGGGCTAAATCTGAAGAATATGCTGGTTGGGGTAGCAGTTCGTCGCCTAAAGCCTGTGTACCATGCATAATCAATCTGTCAATTTGTACGACGGAGGATGAATTGACAGATCTCCAACCAATAGAAACACTTTCGTATCATCGTACCATC